CAAAACAGCTTTTTTTAAATGGTGGCCTGAAATTTTAAAAAACGGAAAAGCAAAAAAAAAAAAAAAAAAAAAAAAGTCATGTTACAGTGAAAAATGACAATTTTATAACAAATATTCATGAAGTAATCAAATCAGGAATAAAATTTTAATCCAAGGAATGAAGATTTTGACTGCCAATTTCTTGCAGGGAATAGAAATGTGACCAAGAAATTAGCTAAAAACAGCAATAAAAAATATGGCTAGAGGAAGAAATAAAACAAGAATAAGCTGACTCTAACACAAGAACACAAATAGGCAGGATCAAATTCAATAAATTAATATAATAAGATCAAGACTAATGTAATAGCTTGTTGTAGAGTGCCTGAGCTGATCATTTTTTTTTATGTAACCAAGAGAATCAAACATATACTAAACTTGACCAAAAACTTGACCATTCCCAAATCTGAAAGATCAGAATTAGTTGAGACAGGGAAGGGAGATCGTTTTGGTGTATTTTGGAGTTAAAAAGACATTTCAGAAATATTTATGAGCAGTTTCTAATTAGTATATATATATATATATATATATATATATATATATATATATATATATATATATATATATATATTTTTACTAAATTAAACATTTTGTATAATTTTCCTGATAACTGTGCTGTTGATGGAAATTGAGATATCACCACATCACTTTAGTCTTCTCTGTGTTTTTCTGCATGTGCACATGTGCCCACACATTCCCTTTCACCAAAAACGGACACACAAAACCGGCACTTACTTACATATTCACACATTCTCCAAGGTTCAGAGTCGTGGGTATTTCTGTTCTCTGAGTGGGATGCATAGTGTTTCCATGGAGATCTATTTTTAGCCCCTGACAAAAAAAGGGCAACTGTTAAAATATGCCATCATATTCCCTCTGAATTAAAAAGATCCCATTTTGCCTCACGCAAGCATGAAGGCATAAAGTTTTGTCTGAAAATGGGATCCTAGGAAGGCTGCCTTTGACAAACCAGATATAGATAACACTCTGCTGGGCTTCCAAGAACAGTTTTGTAGGTAGTCAGAAGTCTTACAGAAATGGGGGAGAATAAAGACCAATAAGTGTTTTGTGAGAAAATGATTTAAAGGGTTTTACGTGTGCTCTTCTCCGTTACATGATGTTAGGCCATATTTTATGCAACACTGGAACAAAAAGTCAATAATGATCAAAATACTTATTGGAAAAAAAAAAAGAAAAGTATTTTAGAAATGCAATATTTGTGATGAAAATCTTTGAGGGATCTTGTTGAAAATCTGTACCAGACAGGATGAAGGCAGTTCTAAAAGTAACGGGGTGCTATGTCCTACCATATGTTACATATTAGTTAGCATCTTGCATTTTAATCACCCCACAAATGTGTTTTGTAGTTACTATTAGTAGCATTTAAGCATCTAAATTATAATTGTGTTTTCTTTCCTCAAACAATTTTAGGGGACATCAGTAAATTGTTTTGTAAAGTAAGCATTACCGAACAATATTTCAGAGTCAAACATCACACAGAAGTAATTAAAGGAAAAGTAAAAAACTGAATTCAAAATCCAGTTGCTTGTGGAATTGGATTTTCTTAAAATGTGCTTAAATCCACAAGCCCACAAGTGTACTCAAATATGGAGAAATGTGCATTGCTGATTGAAGAAAGTTACACAAGTACAGCACTTGTTTTTTTTTTTTATTATTTATTGCTATTGTTTTACAGCAAAAAAAGTTTTCTTTGTTCTCTTCTATGTGGTTTGAATATTGGTGAGAAACTCCAAACTGCAACACATAACATACGATGAATAATGATTCCAACATAGATTGCTTTATAAAGTGAAAGCATCAACCATGTATTTTAATTCAAAGGTACCCTTCAATTGATACCGTTCTTGATTATTAAAGGTTAAAATAGTGATATTTCTATGGGTTTTTCCACTAAGGAGTGAATGTTTGTGAATGTGGCCGAAAAGGAAAGAAATCTTGTATTTGATGTCTTCTAGACAGAACTAAAAAAATGGCAGGGACTTTGAAAAAATTGCACCCTAATATCTGTAATCATTATATGTGCCTGTGCACGGATATTCACAAACATTACTCGTCTGTCATCTATGCTTTTCTGTGCAGGCACTGTGTATGCATGCACTATGTGTGTGTATCTGACCAATGGTAATTGGCAAATATAAGAGCTCAGATGTTATCATGTGATAGTGTAAGCAACCACAGGCATGCTGGCGCAGCTCTCTTACACACAAAACAGCACAAGTAGCTAGTCACGACTCACAGACCCGGCCATACACGCACATGCATTCACACAGAGATGTTTACATGTTATGTAAAGAAGGCTTCTGTGGAGATCAATGGAAGAGCATGCCAGGTCGTCTCATAGAAATAATTAAAAGTGAATAGCTAATGATCCTATTTATAGACTGATCTATGTGTAACCAGCACAACACTGTCTACTGTGAGCCATGTTAACATTCCTTTCTTTAATGTTCCTGCTCTTTTCCAACATCCTTCCCCTCGTTTGATTTGCTGAAGCACCGGTTATTTTCTGCAACAGTACCTAGTCCTCTCACCTGTCGTATGCATTTAGATGTGAGCGTTGTCAAGCAGCAGCGATGTTATCAGGTGCAATCCCGGGCCAATCCTGGGAGACCCTGTGACGCACTATGCATGACATAAGGCAGCTGTAACGTGCATTGTTGTGTGGGAGAAAGAGAGAGAGCTCCCGTGAATACTTGCCAATGCTTTTGTGTGCAGTCAGCAGCAAGACAATGATTTAGCACCGAAAAGCAACATTAATTATGTTGGCTACAGTTAGAGTCCGACTTGGTATTGCAACTTAATATAATATTCAGAGATTTCTTAAAATGTGATGTAAATGTAGTTTGCAGTGATAGACTGTACAATATGTTTTGACCTTCAGTCCTTCAATCTTTTTTACTTCTTCTCTGTTAGGCCAGGATGTCCAGTTGTTAAATAAAATACCTCTTTTATTTGATTATTTATTATGTGTTTTAATAGCTAAGTGAACAGAGTCGTGGGTCTTTCTGTCATCATTTGGTAATTTTGTCTCAGCCAATATATCCTTTATGCTAGGACAAACTGGGTTTAGCCAAACTTATCTCGTTAACGTTAACATGGCACTGCTCAGTCATCTGCTCAAACCCCATCTGTCTCATTTTCTTACTGAACAGTTTGAACACTTGAGTGTTTTCATGGGGTGTTTGAAAAGGTGTAGGAGCTGACAGATGTAGTCATCTGCCCAATTATGAGTGAGACAATATACACTGTGTAACAACTGCATTGGTTTTAGAGTTTTAGAACCAATTCAATTGTTTTGATGTGGTGCAATTACAGTGTTTACACACAGGGCCATAATTTATTTTAAAAAGACTAAACCCAAGTGCAAAAACCATTTTCAGACTATAAAGCCATCAAACTAATGGCATGTGCTGTGAATTGGTTTTTACAATTGACATATATGAATATAAATAATTCAAAAGCAGTACGCTATGCCCTCATCGAAAGGACTCTAGTGAACCATCAATTAGAACCATCAATTATTTTTCCAGTGTTAAATTTGCGTCACAAATCCACTCCTTTTGCTCAAACTGCTTAGTACAGTCATACAGCCAACACACCAAAGTCCTCCTTGCTTTACCAACTATAGTTTATTCAACCACAGTTGACTTGACAGGGTAAAGAAATGGATAAGATTACTATACTGTATGCAAAGACTGCACTTCAAGGTTTTACAATTAATGGCAACTAATTAAAGACATGCTCAACTAGTAACAAAGGACATTCAGAATGAAAATGTCAATTATGTGCACCGATAGATTACTATTATAAAATTACTCCAAATAACTGATAACTGTCCAGATTATATTAAAGGTAGATGTAATTTCTCATTAAAACAGTGTTTGATTATATTAACTCGTCCATAAATTTTCAACTGTAAAAACCTGTCACTGGTCCTGCCAAACTATACTTTTTAATTCAACGCTGAGCTCATATGAAAAGAAAATCCCTGAACTGCTTTCTAAAAGTAAAGTGTGCCTTAAGCCAGCATGAAGCGCTTCACATTAACGTACTAAAGATATTTATGCACAATAGATCACAGTGTATGAGTAGGTGGATAAGGTCAAAGCATAAAGGCCCTTATCGCTTGAGCTGAATTATATAAGGAATGCAGAAATCCGTGGCCCACCATGACTCAATCTGGTAATTAGAGTTGGTGTGTTTGTGGCAGGGGAGGGACTATAAAGGGTTAAAAGAGTGCAAAAGAATAATGCCTGGAAATTAAAATCAAGAGCAGCGATTGAGAGCACATTTGTCTGGGATCAACATGTTTACCAGCAACAGTGTCAGGAAATTCATTTACAGCTTAGCATTTAGATATTTATTATGTTTTTTTTGTTATGTTTTTTTGTTTTTTTTTCCTTAAATGAATGTCCCCACCTATGCTCACAGCCGTTGTGTTCCCTTTTCAGGTCTTGCAGGTGTTCAGACGGACCTGGACAAAAGAAAAGAACTATTTGGTAAAAACCTGATACCTCCAAAAAAGCCAAAAACATTTCTACAGCTGGTATGGGAAGCACTGCAGGATGTCACCCTCATCATCCTGGAGATCGCTGCTCTAATCTCCCTGGGCCTCTCCTTCTACCACCCTCCTGGGCAGACCGGTGGAGATGGTGAGTTACCCAGCTGCTGTGGCATCTCCTCCTGTGAAGCTTGCTCCCAGTTGGTTTAAAATTAGAGAAACGCACATCATTAGTTCTGATGCTCTCGGTGTTGCAGGGAATTTAACCGATGACTCACCACCAGTAATCATGACTGATACGCTCTCAGCCACATTTGTGTAAACTCTCTTTTTAACAGGCCAGGCAGGTCCTAGTTTGTTTGTCACCTGCCTTAAGAGGTCAAGTGACTCATCAAGCACATATCTAATTTTTCTGCCCACAAAGTGTGAGCATTTGTGCACATTATGACTGTATTAAACGCATGTTGGAAAGGTACTGGAAAGGTTAATGAAGTTTCGAGTGGAGAAATAACCTTGAGCTCCCAGGACCCATACATCAGCTCTGTGAGCCATGAAACAGGAAATGAAGACAGAGACAGTAAAGAGTTGCTGAGTCAGCTGCATCAGTCATCGCCTCTTTCGTTATCACAGTAATGGACTTCATTTTCCCTGCCCAGGGGTTCAGTCATCATTTTAAGGGATTTACAAGCTTAGATGAAGCTGAAAATGCCGAAGAGAAGATATGTTATTACCCCAGCCTTTGTGGTAGGTCCTACGTTCATGACAGATATTCCTGTATATCGAATCACTAGTTTGATTAAGAACTTGTATGAAGACTGGACTGGATAAGCCATTTCCTCTTCCTGCTCCCTTTAGGAACACCTTGATTTACAGAATATTTTGCTGGAAAGGTTTTGTTGTTGCAAATGTTTTTCCATCTGTATTTGTTTTGCACACATTTTTTCAAATTATTTGAAATAATTTGAATCATTTTTGGGAGGATGCTGTTTAGTTTCATTGTAATTGTCAGTATCAAGTAAAAGATGGCAAGATAGCATTTTTAAATCCCATAAAATACCTAAAAAAAAAGAAGAAAACTCAAGTAAATATCTTGGTTTAATATGTTGGATTGTATATTGCTTCATTGCTCCAAAGAGAACTGCTGCAGACATCAACATTTCTAATATTTCTACCTTTCTAAGTATTATGTTTAGAACATACATTGCGAATGTTGCGACATAACCAGGTACTTTCAATCGCTTGAAAGACTACTAGATCTGTACCGATTAGTTTTTTAATTACATAAATTATATTAACATGTAGTTTTTCAAAGCTCTAAAGGGTCCTGAACAAACAAATTATAAACATCATAATAAACCAACAAATTACATAAATTGGGCTGATGCCAACAGGTTGCCAGTCCATCACGAGGCAACACAAAGAGATACAGGGCATGTAAACGGTTTCTTGCTTCTATTTTTTAAAAACTGTTCAAAAATATTTAAGAGAGCTAGTTTTTGACCATTTAACTTTATGTGAAGGCATATAGAGCATCATTAACCAGAAGCGCTAACGCCCAAAATGATCTAGAATAAGCTAACTTTTGATAACTGTATTCAGGACAGTGCACAAAGATCACACTCTATTCTGCTGACTGTAGTGCAGTGATCAAGCTAGACAGAATGAACTCATCTAGTTTGAAGAAAAGAAAAAAATGAATTCCAGCAGAGTCTTAAGGGATTTATTTATTTATTTTTTTTTTGTTTCTTTTGGTCCAGAGTACAATGGCTCCAGGAGTATTACATGAACAAGCACAAAGAGCACTGGGAATAGGCCTTGTTTCATTCCCCAATATACCCTTGTCTATCAGTGTGCAGCCAGTAGGATGCAGAGCCTCATTTGAAGTAGGGCATATGAGGCAATGAGATGAGGATTCTCATGGGGCTATTTAAGCCAGAGTTTGTTTTAATTTTATACTCGCCTTTTGTGTAGCACAGTTCGTAGATGTAGGATTTGCACATGTAGACAGGTAACAGAAATAATCAACATCGACCCTTTCGGCTATAGCAATAATCTGAACAAGCAGGTCAAATCCGATCGTTGATGAATGCCCGAGATGAATATGTTATTTGTGTCTTGCTTCTCCTTTGTTTTACAGCATGCGGTGCAGCAGCCGGTGGAGTGGAGGATGAGGGTGAGGCAGACGCAGGCTGGATCGAGGGCGCTGCCATCCTCTTGTCCGTAGTGTGTGTGGTTCTGGTGACGGCCTTCAACGACTGGTCGAAGGAGAAGCAGTTCCGTGGACTGCAGAGCCGCATCGAGCAGGAGCAGAAGTTTCAGGTGGTCCGTGGAAGCCAGGTCATACAGCTGCCTGTTGCCGACATTGTAGTTGGGGACATTGCACAGATTAAATATGGTAAGTGTGAAATGGTCCTCAGCTTTAGCCATTTAACACCTTAAATATGTTTGAAAATTATCTAATTTTCCTGCCATTTTAGTTTTAAAAACTAAAATAGAGAGTTAAATAGAGCCATAAAGTGCTTTTCACGTATACAGATTTAGGCTTGAATTGAATAATGACTTAATAGCAGATAGATCTATGGGGAAAGCAAAAATACTACTTCTTTATCTCTAGTTCCATTGATATAAACAATATTTAATACTTTAAAATTTGTTTTGCTCTGCAGGTGATCTGCTTCCTGCTGATGGAGTGTTGATCCAGGGCAATGACTTAAAAATTGATGAGTCATCGCTGACTGGAGAATCCGATCACGTCAAGAAGTCCGCAGACAAGGACCCCATGTTGTTATCTGGTATGTTTATAACTTATACTAGATGGTATCAGGCAGATCATACACTACACTTGACAAATATTTATTCTGAAAAATGTACAGTGGTTTTGTATTTTTCTGTCGGTAGGCCTGTGTAAATTTGCCACTCATCACAGGAGCCAAACATGTACATAAAATAGATTTAAAGGGTTATAGACTAATCTCACATAATCTTTTATGTGCCAAAAAAAAAAGAGAGACATCTTGATCCTTTGAAAGGTCCCTCCTTACTTTGTTGGAGGGGTTTGTTTTAGTACCTCCATGTTTCCAGCTGTCAAAAAGAGTTTATTCAAGGGGAATTGGTCTATAATGTGATGCCATATGAAGTCAGTTACTTCAGTAAATCTAATAGACTGATCAAGAAACCCAGTCCTGTCAGGAAGACGGTCACGCCTTAATGGAAGGTATAGGCCAAGCTGCTGTGAAATTAGTTTGTGGTTTAATATTACCTTCAAACAAAGCAAAAACAAATAACTAAACTGAAAAGGATTGTGTTTAAGCATTTTTTTTCTGTTTGTAGGAACCCTTTCTATATGTACATCATAGATATATTGGAGGAATAATGATATGATCACCTGTGGATTTTCTTAGTTTCAAGGAAGTGAGCGCTCATTAATATTTCATCTGTTTGCATGTCATTGAATGACATTTTTATTTTATTCCGAAGCCAAACATTTCTTAATACTTGGTGGAGAAAACTGTATTATATTGGAATGATGATATCCAGTGTGATATACATGCCTGTATTCTTCTTTTCTCTTTTCCTCATCTCTTCTTTCATCACTGTGTGAGCTTTAGCATCTTGGGCCATGCCTTTGTGTCTGGCATGAAGATCTGCTGCTGTGAGACTTTGCCAAACTGGCTCAGTACTTTTTACATTAGTGTGCAAAATGCAAGTGTCTAACACTTGGAATATAAACATACTTTGCTGTATGAATATTGGACATGCTGATGTTGCTTGATGATACAGTCATCGTGCAGCCCTACTGAGTGCTACTGTAAAATGTTCCTAGTTGTTGCTCTCTAGGTTTATAAGAATGTTGGTCCTCTGCTCTGAAGGAAATCTCCAGTTATTTTGGTTACCTCGCTATTGCTTGGCAGCTTAAAGCTCCATGTTTATCCAAAGTTACTTATGTAGAACAGAACTCTAAAAGCTGCCTAGGTTACCCAGAGACTCTGATTTATTATTCATTCTGCAGTTTTCATTTTGTTGCACCGGTGGTGTGTTTTAGGTCAGTGTAATTTTAAAAGACATAAATATGACTCATCTTCAGTGTGCTTTCTGAGAGAAAATATTTTACATTAAATTGTTTTCTACTCAGCTTATATCATCATGTTTCCACCCCCATACTTTACTCTGTTGATGTTGGTCTGAAGAAAGCACTACTTTAAATCAATCGGATACTAAAAATGAATCTTAAAACAGACTTGGACATGTGGCTCCTGCAGTGTTTTAAGCTCCTTTGATTTTATGGTTTAAAATCCTGTTTTAAACCACAAAACAGGATTTTACATGGAGCTCCATACTGTGGCAAATCATGGTCATTTTAAATTTATTCTATTGTCTTGAAAAACTACCAAGAGGCGTCACTGTCTCACTAATCTTCTTGCTTAACTCAATAGCCCACTGCAGTCTTGTGGTGATTTGTCTGTCTTGCCTCCAACATCTCTTTACAGCTCTTTGCTCTTTCTCCTGGTGGTGGAGAGCCAGAAATAGAAAAAGATACAATCAGTATTTTCTGCGGGAGTCATAATTTTGGCTGGGTTGTAAGCCTTATTTCACTCAAAGACATGCAATCAAATTTGTGATTTTCATATTTTGATAAATGGTTATATTCTGGTTTATGTACGGCCTCACTCCTTTTTAATTAAGCTACTATAACATTTGAGACAGTTTTATTTCATTTTATGTGAAAGAACTAACAAGTCATCACATATTGATTTCCCTCTCTAATTATTCAAGTATTTATTGGGTTTAAAATGATGCAAATTTTTTTCTAATGTGAAAGTAAATTTAAATCACCGTCTGGCCTGTTCCATAAAGTTTCTTTATGAATTAGGTAATTAATGTTTTTCTTTTTCTTTTTTTGTCCACTCTAAACTAAAAATCCATAGAAGATGATGGTGGAAGTAGCATACAAAATATTGTTTTGTTAGTCTTTACCTCCAACTTAGTATCATAATACTTCAATCACCATAATTCACAGACGTATGTTTCTTTTTACAGTTCATTAGCCTTTATTATCACTGTACAGAAGATGTGCAACGACATTGTAAACTTTCCTGTTGGTGCATAAATATTCTAAATAATAAGAAAATTAGATAAATAATATGAAACCAGGAATATCACAGACAACAAAAATGTGGGCTAATCTGGTGTCACGTTAAACTTTTTTCTCTTTGGATAATTAGCCGTGTGCCTTTTTGTTGGCTGCTTTAATTAGCCTCAGACTCACCCACATCAACTTCGTCTCACGAAGGTTAATGAATTTGTGTGTGTGTGTGTGTGTGTACAGTGTGTGTAAAGGTGCCACCGCTCCACAGAAGCCAATGTAGTTTGCAGTCGACACATATCTGTATCTGGCACATTTATTCACTCTTGCTTTGAAAAATTTAATGTAGATTAGCTTCTTTAATAAGGACATTTAATATTTTTCTGATTCATATCTTTCTGCAAAGCAGAAAGCGTATTTCATAATTTCCTGTAACAGCACTGATTAAATATTAGTAAAAAAAAAAAAAACAAAATCTCTAGAAGGTGTTTTTTTTAATATCCAAGAAGCTTTTAAAACACATTCACTTTGTCATGATGTCAAAAAGGCATATTTCAAAATATTTAAATGTTTTTGGTAGAGGTGTGCCGATCGATCGGTCACCGATCATAAT